TAAATTTCGACTGTGATTTACGGAGGAATAGCACAAGTGCCGAATACATGGGCAGCGTTCGCAAACTGTTTTTCCACGGAAATTTTGTCTATGAAAACTACATGCCCTGAGTTCCTCGGTACAGGTGCTCAAGTTCTTACAGAGGTTTTTTTAAAAATTTTCAATGCTAGGAACTGCGGTGATCTGAATTTCAAAAATTAATGGGGTGAAAAAATTCCATTATTAATTAAATCTTTATGTTCATCACTTTTGTAATCTTCCACCTCGGCCGCCACCGTTCCGGGATTACAAACTGAACCTGCACTTATTTTACTTGGAGCTAAAAAAACAGGTATTGTTAAATGTCATAAGAGCTGCCTCTTGGGTCTCTTGTGATTAGTCCAATGGAGGTTTTATGGCTTTAAAACAGAGAGAATGTAAGTGACGGCGAAACTTTGTTTCATAAGGGCATTCAACTTCAAGGTCTAGAGAATCTCGCTGAACGTTTCAGACAAGATAGGTTTTGCGTTCATCTTCGGTTTTATATTTTCCACAAACGCAGCTATGTTGTCACAATTTTTTGAACCTAGGTGAGTCGAAATATTTTCTAAGAATTTGACCGTGTCAAAATTTACCGTGTCAAAGTTTAGTCCGTGTCAAAATTTTGACCGTGTAAAATTTAGTAAAAATTTTTTCTAAAATTTTGACACGGTCTCACATTCAACCCTTGCAATCTGAACTTATCCATGCGCTCCAAACGAAAAATTCCAGTTAAGGTAGGTTTTGTTTTGTTGAGGCCAAAAATTCCAGTTGAGGCCAAAAAACTGGATCAAGCTCAAAGGCGAGCAGAAAAAACACTCAAACCAGTTTTGACTGCCGGAAAAACTGCTTGCAATATTTGGCTATGATAAGCTTTTACATTTTTTAATTTAGACTTTTGTTTTTAAAAATCTATAATATTTTTCCAAAAAAACCTTTTTGCAAAAAAACAAGGAAGTGTGTGCCAAAATATGGGTGTTACAAATTAGTTTTCGTTTTTTTTTGTGCTTAGCATTATGCCATAGATTTTTCCGATTTTAGTATGATTTCAAGGTCTCGGAGCTCTATCTTGAGATTTTCGGCTAGATTTTGATCATCTAAATACCAAACTTTTTTTTGGATTCAAGTTTTTTTTTACTAGCATCTGTTTTACAGCGGCGGAGCCTCAGGGTCAACATGTTGTATTCCATCTTCCGACATGATGAAGTTTCCGTAAATAAGTAACTCGGTGGGCTGTAGGAGCAATCAATGATTTACCACTACAACTCAAGGCTGTTCGAAAATTCGTGAGTCAACATAGTTTCTCTATTAAGCAAAATGAATGCATTACTAAAACCTAATTCGGATAGAATTGAGCAGTTCGGGGAGTCATCACACTCTATTAAGTTTCCAAAGGAATGTGCAATAATTTAAGCTCTTCATTTAGTACCACATCCTACTTCAAAACTTCAAAAAGTTTTGTTGCTCTGCGAGAGCTTTGCTTCCCGCGCACTCAGACGCGATTCGTCTGAGCGTAATGCCGATGGCAGTCGATAGCAAAATTCTATCTGTTATGCTGGGGGTGTTAATTTTAATCCGAGAGAAAACGATCTCAACGGTTTGGGTGCTTTATGACATTAAGCCCCTCATTGCCATCTTTAGTTAGAAGTATAAAAAAATTGCGATCCTATCATCTGAAGCCGCCAAACTTCTGTCATCCTTTACTTTTGCCTCATCGAGCATGCTGCTGATAGCTTCACATGCTGCGAGAGATCTGTTTGGGGTGGGTTTCACCCTTGGGGAAGTGGTTTAGTCAGTGAAACATTATCTGCTCTTATTTTTTTAAAACTCGTGTTAAACAAATCAACTTCTTGTCAATCTTGCACTATGGATATTACTGTTTGGCTTCATTAAGAAAACACAAGAAAACTAGATGCATTCCTGAAGGTTTCAGATAAATGAATATGTTAAAATTTACGTTATCAGCAAGATAATCCAGACCAGCTACATTTAGGCAATCTTTTACCACTCTCATTTTTTATGCATTTGAATTATCATTCACTTCTTCCCGAACACTGTAAACGAGAAATAGATTTGTTTTTTGTTCAGTTGAATCACGAACGAAATTGACTCACACGTAGATTTTCGACCATAAAAGTGATCTTGAAGTAGTGTTTAAACTCGCATGTAGAAACGGTTTTCAAGTTAAACAAAGAACAGTTTTCAAGTAATATCATCTTCAATGATATAATTTTTTTTAAATAAACGTGAAAAGAGATCAACGGGATAGGTGCTAGGGATTTTAGCATACCGGGTTCTAGGCGTTCGAAAAATTTTAGCACAATTATCACAACTCCTAGCCTGAATATTGTGATAAACTTCGTTATGAGATGTGATATTTTCAATGTTCAAGCTTGTTTGTCGAGAGCTCTTTGAGGGGTTTTAGAGACAAGCACGCCACGTAATATTCCAGTCTGGAGAAGGTGTGCCTGGCCTGGGAGGTCTGGTGGCGCGCCGCTGGTTTTTCTGAACTCGGTTGAGTTATTTCTTTATCTGCGAGTCTTATACAATTTCTTATTTTCTTCAATTTAAATTTTAATTATTATTTTTTTCATCATAAAACCCTGTTAGCATGGGTTACTTTGATGCCGCGCAGTCAAGGTGAGGAAAAAAAGCAAGGAGTGTACAATCAAAGAATGCTTAAAACCTTCTTGAGTTTTAAATTGGATTAGATGTGGTTGTTGCTCTAATTGGTACCATAAGAATTGTGTAAATATAAGTCTTAGCAAATCAAAAAAGATCCATCGGTTTCAGTTTTTCATGTGTGTTAATGTGAAAGAAGTGGTCAGTAACGCTTCATGTGATGATGACTTAGTGCAAGATAATGATGTAAATTTAGCCATTTCAAATGTTCGGGTATTCAAAAGAGAGTACCTAAGGACACGCATGTTCCCTTGGCAGAAATTCTTTCATAGACATTAAACGATATTTTTTAAGTTTCGAAAATGTAGAGAAAGCTAATCATTAGTTAGTTTGCTTCAAGTCTTTCTGTTTTATTTCCAAAACAACTGAAAAGAAGTGGTCGTAAGCAAGCGACAGCCATGATTCCAATAAAAAACCAAAAAATAAGAGCCAATAATGTTTCACCAATCCACATCCCCCCCAAGATAAAACTCGCTCAATACAGATCTCGCTCAAAATGAGGCATATCAGCAGCGTGCTCGATCAAGCAATCACAAAGCAGCACGCAATTTTCTGGGAAGCTTGCTATCAAACACGACCTGCCCGACGTGCTCCAATCTAGTGATCCTAGCGAATTTAGTAGATTATCTGAGAATCATTTCACTCAAAATGCTTATGCTGATCTACAAAGTGGGTCAATTGAAACGATAGGAAAATAATGATCGAAAAATGCACACATCAAATTTCAATCAAAATCTGGAGCCTCAACAAATCATTTATTCAAAGAAATAACACTTCAGCAGACATCAAGCATCAAGGATTTTCGAAAATTGTTGATGCGAAAGTCTATCTGGAATACACATATCAATAAACGTCTCAAAAAAGCAATTGAGTTTCTCAAATGGCGTCGAAAATTTTTTTCGCCTGCAATGCCCACAACTTCGTAACACTCGTTTCAAACAAGTCAATTTGAGCTATGAGCTCTCCTTTACGTTCAAACATAAGCTCAGTTAAACGTAATTTAACAAGGGAGGTCGTTTAGGTTTTTTGTGGGAAGCTTGATATCAAACACGACCTTTCCGACGTGCTCAGATTTAGTGATTTTTTCAGTTTAGCAGATGATCTGAGATTTTTTTCATTCAACAAAGCGTACGCTGCGTTTGTTAGGATAATCAAAAACTATTTGACTGGAGGTTTTAAGCTAGACTTTATGTGTTCTTGTTGTCAACTATGTCAATTGTCTTCGAAAAGGCGGCCTAAAAAGCTGCTAGAAACAGTTAAGGATTGTTTCCGTACGAATTAGTGTTGATCATTTGTGAGGTACTTCTTGAAATGTTCATACAAAGGCATGCAAACGAATTTCTCAATTAGTTTACTATCGATGCAAAATACTCAGATAGACCGGTAGTTCTCAACTCTTTGAGGCTCACTGTATACGAGGGATACTGGGGCGTTTATTTTGTGACGACTGGCGTTTCTTTCAGCGCTTCACGTTTTTGATGAGCTGGTTTAGAATTTTTGTTTTCTTGTATGATAGAAGAAACTGGGTGAGATGCTGTTTGCGCCTCGTGTGTTGCTTGTCTCAGTTTCATCTAGCAGCGTTTTGAATGTTTTTGGTTGAGACGGAGAAGTTATATGAGACAGATTTTTGCCTTCGGTTAAAATAAAGCTTCGTTACTTTTGGCTTTATTTTGGCGAAGCTTTATTTTGGCGAGAAAACTCTGTTTATAACTTTTTGAAAAAAAGAGTTCACGCAGTCTTTTGGTTGAAGCAAAGATTTACTGAAGTACTTGCCAATCGCTTTATATGTTTCAATCGCTTGACTTTATTGCTTCTGTCTATTGAGCCGAAAACAGACCTTCGATAAGATATTCTGTCCTCTTCACATGAATGATTTACTTGGGCTTCAAGATTTAGTTTTTTTTAGTTCTCTTGTGGCTAGTACAACTTCTTTCGATTGATAAGGTCTGATTTTCTAAGTTTTTTCTAGACAAAAAAGCTGGATTTCTTCCATGGAGGAAGTTATTTTCAATCTGTTGTTCTCTTTGGCACACGAGTGTCAATTATTGATTGGAATTTCTTCTGCAGCTCATCAAACATGCTGTCTTTGCTCGTGTATCAGTAAATTTCAAAATTAGGTCTAAGCGTGTGACCCATTTTAGCATTATAATCTCATGAATTGTAATTGTAGATACTATCTTTGGCTGGCGGGGCTTCAAGGCATTTCAGTTCAATGTTACAGAGCTATGACCAAAACAGTCCTAAATTTTGTCTTACGTTCAACACAAATTAAGATCACAGTACGGTGTTGATAAGGATACATGAAGTGTTTCCCGAGCGGCACTGCTGCCGGTCCTTCGCGCTGGTTTCCTGAGCACTTTGTTCACGCCGTTGAGTGCCCCACTCCTCAGACTGCTGCCAGAACGTTAGAATCTCTCAACAGGGTTGTTAATATCCTCGCTGCCGGGCAAGCCCCTTCTAGTCTTTCTCCGTGGCTGTGCAGTGCGAATCTCTTTGCCACCGCTAAACCCAAGGGTGGTGTCCGGCCTATTGCGGTCGGCGAAGTGCTCCGAAGGCTCACTGCTAAATGCCTTGCTAAAGCCGCCAACGCTGAAGCTCGTGATTTTCTGTGTCCTCACCAGCTTGGAGTCGCTACCAGCGGTGGCTCGGAAGCCATCGTCCACGCTACTAAAATGACAGTCAAAAAGTGCTCGGAACATGGTCACCAAGGCGTCTTAACAGTGGATTTTGAGAACGCTTTCAACACGCTAGACCGCACCGAGATCCTCCTTCAAGTTCGCAACCGTCTTCCCGGTCTCTCCGCCTTTGTTGAGTTTACCTACGGTCACCACAGTCATCTGCTGTTCGAGGATGTCATTCTCAACAGCGAGAAAGGAGTTCAACAGGGGGATCCGCTAGGGCCTCTCATTTTTGCGGTCACCCTGCACTCTCTAGTCGAATCTCTCAAGTCGGAAGTCCCCGGTCTCACCCTCAACTGCTGGTACCTTGATGATGGGATTTGTGCCGGCGACGAAGACTCCTTGCTCAAGGCTCTCGAACTCATCACTTCCAACGGCTTGCATCTCGGCCTCAAAGTCAAGCACAATAAGTGTGAGTTGTGGGCCCCTGTGGAGTTCTCCTCCATCCCCGTCTCTATCCCGAGAGCAGCGTCTAATGGCTTCGAGCTTCTTGGCGCCCCCATTGGTGATACTGAGTTCTCAGTTAAAGTCCTGGACAAACGCATCTCGAAGGCCACCAAATGTCTTGAAAAGTTACCTCTTCTTGATGACCCCCAGCTCTCACTTGGCATCACTCGCACTTGCCTTGCTGCTCCCAAGCTGACGTACTCTCTTCGCACTCAGCCGCCCTCTCAGCCTGTCGCAGCTTCCCTGCAAGTTTTTGATGAACTCCTCCGCGATGCTCTTTCTGTCATAGTTGGCTCACCTGTTCCTGATCTTGCCTGGTCCCAGTCTTCCCTGCCTATCAAAGATGGCGGACTTGGCGTCCGGCAAGCTCGCGACCAACACATCCCTGCCTTCCTAGGGTCTTCGTGTCAGTCAGCTCATTTGGTCTCGTTTCTTACCGAATGCGACATCACTGATACGCCGGAGTTCCTGCGTGCCTCGAACGACTTCCGTGAACAGTCTGGAAGCGTTAACACTCCCGGTTTTACTCAAGAAGCTTTCCAAGAGAAACTCGATAAGGCCACCTACAACGCGTTCTTCTCGTCTCTTCCCGATTCCCGCGAGCAAGCTCGTCTTCAGTCGCTCTCTCTGCCTTACGCCGGCGCTTGGCTTACCGCAGTCCCCATTAAAGGTCTTGGCCTGCACCTGCTACCTGCTGAGTTCCAAGCTGCTGTCAGATACCGCCTTGGTCTTCCTGTGTTCGCGTCTGCTCGTAGGTGCCCCGCGTGTCCGTCTGGCATTCTGGACATCCTCGGGGACCACGCTGTCGCTTGTGGGGGGAGTGGTGGCCGGATCTCCCGTCACGACAGACTACGGGACATTATTTTCAATGCTACCTCGGCTGCCTCTTTAGCCCCCATCAAGGAGCAACGGAACCTCATCCCTGGAGAACGGTCCAAACCCGGCGATATTTTTATCCCTACTTGGAGCGCTGGTCGCCCAGCTGCTTTCGACGTCACCGTGACATCCCCGCTGCAGTTATCTCTTCTCTCTCGTGCGGCGGAGACCCCCGGGGCGTCCCTGGAAGTTGCTGAGGACCGCAAATTTTCGAAACACGAGAAAAACTGTGAGGAACAAGGAATCAGTTTTTTCCCGTTAGCAGTCGAAACGCTCGGGGGTTGGTCCGCTTTAGCTATCAAAACCTTCAAGTCAGTTGCTATCCTCGCTGATGCCAGACGTTCTGGTTCACGTGACGCTCGTGTTGCCCCAGTTCGCCTTCTCCAGAGCCTCTCAGTGTGCCTCATGAGAGGAAACGCCACTATGATTGTCAGCCGGGCCATCTAGTCTTGTGCAGTTTATTACGTTTTTTGCATTCCCAATTCTGGTGCTCCTTTGTTCCTTTGCTGTTAGCGCATTCCCCCTCTCTTTTCAATCCTCAATGATTCATCCCACATTTGTTGTTTGTTTTGTATATGTCTGCCATAGGTTTTATCTTTATTATTCATGAGTTTGAACAAGACTCCTGCCCTCAGGGTTGCCAACTGGTTACTTTTTATTAAATAGTTTTTAGTGATTAGGTTTTATGTTCAAATTCTTGTTTTGATTTTTAGCAGTAATTGAATAATAATGAAGTGTTTTTGTCTCGCGTTGGAAAGTCAACACTTTGTCGAAACATTCTATCTTCGAATAGATCAATGACTTCTTCTTCACTTGCATCTGGGCTCCAGATTATGTACCATTTTGTTGGGGAAAAGTTTATGTCCCCACATTTAACTGCTTTGCTGCTGCTTGGAATTTTCGACGAATCTTTCTGGAAATTTTTGGTTTTGAATCGATAGTGACTGTAATTAACTAAGTTTGCATATCAGACAGCAATCATCATCAGTTATGACTTTTTCACAGTTTTAACTGACTTTAACATATATCAAGATCTCGCCTTGGGGGTTGATTGAGGTCTTTTGCTTTCGGTCACAGCTGTGAGTGGTGTAGTCATAAAAACCCTTCAAATGCTAAAATATTCTCCTTTAGCCATCTTAGACAGATAAAAAATCAAACTTTAAGAGTTCTTTTAAAGCGTAGCTAGTTTGAAGCCTCTTTGGTGAACTATAAGACTTTGCGCGCTTAGTTGTACGTAACTGTAGTCTGCATAATCATGTGTTTCAGACAGTCTCGTCGGTGGTATACACAAAGATTCCACCGTAGTGTAACACAAAATTTCTTCTTTTCAGCTTCTAGTGTGGTATTCGTTCTCCGATGAGATTTTTACTTCGTTTCAGACACTGAATTTCTTTCCACTTTCTGTTGAGAGAACTCTTCAGCGAAACAAATCACATCTAATGAGTTATTCAATGTGACAATCAATGATATCAAAAAGCAGCTGGTACAAAATGCGATGCTACTTTGCAACAAACGTGAGCTAAACCCTGGCTTCTCTGGAGGAGAAGTTAACTTGTGGGAAAAGATAAGCAGGTAGAATCAAGACGACTCAGTTTGCCTAAGGGAAACTTTAAGAAGTTATGAAAGAGATCTTGATGTTTGAAGGAAAGTTATATTAAGGTAGCTGAATGCACCAAAATGAAGATTCTGTGTCTCTGAATCGGATATTTGGAGAACTAAAAAAAAAGATAAACAGCAGTAAAAATTTCAGTATACAACGGATCAAAGATGATCTGGAAAAAAACGAAGGGTGGACTAGAACCTCGTCTCAACATACGAGCAAATTACAAACACTGTAAAACTGACGTCAAGCCTGAAACGGTTGACTTTAGAAGACTGGGAAATTTGGAACCTGATCTAAACTACATTTTATGATTGGATAAATTAGATATTTTACCACTGTAAAGTATTTAACATTAACCAATCATGATCCATCTAACTAACAACCCACTTATTTGTAAGTACTGAAATTACTTGTAATTTCAGCACCAGAGAGATTTGAATTTAACTTAGAAATTAGTTGCCTCTCCAAGAGAACTTCAGCAGCCGCAATAAACCAGTATACCCTAGATCTATTGAGCCTAGCAGAGACTAGTTAAACAACCTGAGACAAGAATAGTATAAGAGTAAGATTAGGATCGGTATTAGACTAAGAAGTTGCACGAATCTATCCGGCCGAAAATAAGATAGCGTGACGAGCAGACGGTGTACCCTATCTGAAATTACTCTATGAGTTAAGACCATCGGTTATAACTCATCTGGTGCGACCATAAGTCTCGAACAAGACCTTAATAGCTTAGAATTAACCAAAAATAGATTAGGATTTAGACAAAACATTTTTAAAATGTTACACGACCATAATTTAATCGAAATGTCTCTACGACTCAATAGATCAGAGCCAATATTCCGAACGATAATAGAACTACCCGGAATTGGAAGAAGACCTGGAACCAGAGACGACATACGACAAAGTAGAAACTTACCAAATAGTTATATGATAGTACGGCAAAAGCCAACACAAACTTTTATATTTAGAATCTTATTAGCAATGAATTTAGATTTTCATTTGCAAACTTAAATCTTGAAGTCAATCTTCATGATCATTTCAGGCGCTAAACAAAAATATTAATATACAATAACGATTGATAAAAAGATCTCAGATCGTTTCCCTAAAATTCTGCAGTATCCTATAAAACATGTTTGGAAAATATTTATTGAAAATCAAAACAAAAATTAGTAGCATGACAATAAACTGTTAGTAATCATAAAATCATCAGTTGTCCCAGCTTCATCACCTAAAACATAACAGCAATCATAAGCTCACTAATATCATTAAAACACTAAATCTTTTCTTAAATAAATTTAAACCATTTTAAACTTAAATTCACTTAATTTTAAAATCAGATCATCAAGGCTTATCCTTGGATCTTAATTAATTTTCTATTTAATTAAATTTAAAAAACTTGATCATCAAGGCCTATCCTTGGATCAAAAAGAACAATTTTGTTCTCCCCCACCCACTTAGCTAGTGTCTAACGACCTCAAACGTCGATTCACTATCCAACCCTTTCAAAAAACCCAAGACTAATAGAAATTTTTGAACAAAACTAATCATTCAAATTAGGATAAACAGTGAAGATTTTCGGTTACTCATCCTTCACTTGAACCCTCCTCTTACCAGACCCAGGATAAATCTTAGACTTAGTAAGTTTAAAATAGTATCTAACGAACTACTCGCGTTCTAATTATACCTGAACCTTGTGGATCGATTTACTATTCTCCAACCCTTGAACACAATCACTACCCCTAAGTAAGATTAAGTAAGTTAACACCTTAGCTTATACTAGCCACGAGAAAGTAAAAAATCATTCTTCGGAATCGATATACTTTTCTCTCCAACCCTGAACAAATAGACCCAGGTTAAGCTAACCAAAAAAATCGTAAGGACTAACAATTAAAGAAAATAGAATCCATCTAACAACTTCTTGCATCCGTCATCCTAAACCTTATGTCATTTAAAAATCTAGGAAACAAACAAACAATCGTTTTACACAACTGTGAAATAGATAACAAAAATTACGACCTTGTAATCACACCACACACACAAACAGTTGGATATATCAGAACAAAACGACAAACACTAAAAAGGAAAATAATAACTAAACAAAGACAAATAACACGAAAAAGATTTTCCAAAAATAGAAACGCATTCTCAGAATCAGAAGTCAGCAATTTAGACGAACTTTATAAATTAAAAGAATCCATTGATAAAAATTGTCCTATTCACGATCAATTATATTTTTCTGACTCAGAAACAACTTCAAATTCATCAAAAAGAGGAAAAAGAAGAATAAAAAAGCAATATAAACACAAACCAGTACACTTGTATAATTGGGATCAACCAATTAGACACATCGATAATTAGCTATTAACAGTCATTAAACGAAAAAATGAGCCAAACACACACTCCAAGTGAAGATAGTCCAGACGATGACGATATCTACCCCTTCCTAGTAGATGCACCCGATAATAGAGGACAACATGATCTTTGCAAGAATTTCCTCCTAAATTTGTTTGAACCCGGAATTAGCCCATGTAAAACAGAGTTCCCAGATGTAAAAATAAAAAGACAGATTATTGATCACTATCTGAAAGATATATGTAACTTAACACAACAATACGGAATCTACACAATAGAATTCAGCTCACCAAACCCGAATCACCGCAAATATGTAATTCAAACAGACGATCTTGATTTAGAATTTTCAAAAGTATTCTCAGAATATATAAAAAGCATACAATATCATAACTCACAAAGAGCAAACTCCATATTTACTAATGAAGTTTTTGCAATAATATATAGTTATATTTCAATATTAGAAAACGAAAACCCAATCCCGCATATCTCACCGAATGAGACATCCAAACATATAAAGGTACGACATGAAATCACACTATTCTCAATTTTTCTACATATAATTAAAGAAAATTTCCCTAAAGATACAAAACGAAAATTTCACAACATACAAAACATGACTTACAAAAAATTTTGGCATGGTTTATAATAGATTATTTCACACATAAAATAGATTTAATTTCACAAGCAAGAAAAAATTTCAGACCCCAAAATTCAAACGATGATACCGCCATCACAGAACAATCAGACTACGTTTGGGACCCCGAATGGTGTCATTATGCATTCATAAATATCCCACAATCAATCTCAAGTCAAGCAATAAGTACAATATCTTATGTAAGAGATTATGTAAGGGTAATACCATTATCCATTGATGCAACACCATTAAACTACAATACATTTTTACCCGATACGCGAAATAACAGTTTAAATTCGACTGTCATACACAATGAAAACCTTAATCGAACTAGGAACCTCACTCAACAAGATATTCAAACACCATCACACTTCATAAATGAAGAAATTGTCCAAACAACAACTACACAACAAAGTATTTCACCAATACGTCCAAATTTAACAACACCAAGAAATACAAATACTTCACTAGCACAAGTAACCTTACAATCAACCGTTAAACCTTCGGTTGCTCCAAAATATTCACAAATGGATTATCAAACATATAGACCCATGACAATAACGTCAAAAACACGCAGAACGTTCACAAGAAACACGTTTACGGAACACAATTATAATTACGCACATTCATCAAAAACAAACTATCCCCCACGAAAAAATTATAATAATCAGATAAGATCTCGATATTGGGATAACCCAATGGCAACAACCAACTCAGTAAATTTTCAAACTAATTCACATCCTCCACAGGATCGTAGTGAAAATTACCCATTCTTTCAACAGAATAAAAATAAAAAGCAAGCATCTCATCAAACGGATTATTTATCCTCTGACGATGATTATTTACAACCAGATA